TAATACTTTATATATAACTGCTTGAGCAATTGTTTTAGCATTAGTAATTGTTTGTTTGTAAAATTGTTCAGCGTTTAATATAAAACCAAAACATTTTGTTGAAGACAAATTCTAACCCGATCATCACAGGTTCCGTCAAACTGAGATAAGAAGTCATCTGGGTTTTAAGACCCCATGCCCACAATGGATGCAATTAAAGAAATATGACACAACTGATTACTTGCAAAAACAGTAACTCACTTATTGCCAGTACAACTTATTTGATAATTTCAAATTTGACAAGATATATTATTGGAGAATGCTTCACAAACTGAGTTGTCTTTATAAGGTTATCGTATACATATTACAGATAACCATGATAGCAGTGGGAATAGTTAAGAAGTGACAAGGCAGCCCTCACAACACTGCCATGCACTTATCTGCATCCAAGAAATATGATTGATGTACAGCAGCGGAGATTGTCAAATATCAAAGTTCAAGCAAATCCAATGATGTGCGCACACCTAAATGCAGAATCACACTATATAAGATATGTGGGTGACAGAGTTGACAGGCCAAGACACACCAATCAACTAGCAATGTTACATTCTGTGAAGGAATATATTTGTTCAATTTTCAATTTTTGTCTGACTGAAATTATACGGCAAGAGTTCCTCCCGTTTCCCCATCCCAAATAATATTTATAAATATACTAAAATTATTAACAAAACTTAACACAACAATTACTAGAGAACTCACAAAATGACTAAAGTCCAAAAGTTAAGTTAGGGTTAGGTTTAGAGGTTAGGTTTAGGGTTGGGGAACGGACCTTGAAACGAACAATTTTGGACCACGAAAGTTTGCAAATTACATAAATATATCAAATGAGTGGAACGAACTCAGAGAGACTATGCAGTGATAGGTACCTGGTTAGAATAATTAAGACTGATATACCCAAGGCTGTTTGTGACCCAAACAAAGAAAAATGCACAATTGCATAGGCTCTCTTTCTGGAAATATCAGTCTCCAGGAACACAGTAATGCCTGAATGTGCTCCATGACTGTCAGAAGTTAAGTGTTATGACTGTCATCGAGATCTGACACATTTCAACATTGAAGTGATTCATATTGACGTTTCGCAATTTCGATATATTTCTAGCAATCAAATTCATACATGCATCGTTTTACTTGTCAAATAAATGTGTATGATATATATGTAATATGTAATATGAATAATTCAATAATTCATACACACGATGCTTGTAATATCACGAAATGGGGAGTATCCCAAGGATTGAATGTGTAAAAACGAGAGACTTGCCACCTCAATGGCACAAGTTTACATGAACTATACCTTATTAAAAAAATCCTCCCGTGACAGTTATGACATAGCTTCGACCGGAATGTGCCACAGAGATTCCATGGTGCCGTTTACTATCAGGAACACGATCAGCTTATACCCGGAAGGATGTTTAGGTTTCGAAACGAGGAACCTTATTTTGTCATAATATGGCGGACTTTTCTGCGCGTGCGCAGACGGAAGATCACCTGTGGCAATCGAAACACTCATACTTGACCTTGCTTATCTCGTCACAAATTAACGACATAACTGCATGGATGACATACGTAAAACATCAAAGTTTTAGCAACGTATTCCGAATGCAAGATAAACTAAAGAACGCCTATCCATGTGATATCATTTCGTAATTTGTATGTTCGACATGTTCCACTCTACTGCACACAAAACTATTAAAGGTAAACCCGAACGTCACCACTGCCTCTTGTGAATACAATATGCGTAATGCCTTTTCAACACTGATTTCAAAATTAATACTTTATATATCACTGCTTGAGCAATTGTTTTAGCATTAGTAATTGTTTGTTTGTAAAATTGTTCAGCGTTTAATATAAAACCAAAAAACATTTACCCCCTAAACACCAAAACCCCCACCCCAACAACAACAAAAGATAAAAACAACATAAAAATAAAGACAAAAGATAAAACTAAATAAAACAATAAAGACAACCGATAAAATTTCTTGTACAGTACTAGGAGGAATAGCTGAGTTTTCTATATATACTGTTTCTGTTTGCTAGTGGAAACAAGGACGTGACCCGTGAAGGTCCGGGTTAGAATTGATCTTCACCCATGCTTGTCCTAAGAAGCGACTAACGTGATAGGGTGGTCAGACTCGCTGACTTGGTTGACACATGTCAGTTGCGTACAGATCGATGCTCATGTTGTTGATCACTGGATTGTCTGGTCCAGACTGGATTATTTACAGACCGCCGTCATATAGCTGGAATATTGCTGAGTGCGGCATAGAACTAACCTCACTCACCCTCTACAATATTTTGTATTTTGTTTGCTGTGTTTGGCTGCACCCGGCAGTATTCCAACTAGATTACTGCAGTTTTGCGGTTTTAGTTTACGTTTTACAGTAGTGAATTGGATATGTACCGACATGACTCTTAGCTAACATTAAATATCCGAAATATCCATCTATCCAAAGTCTTTACGACAGACTAGGCCGGATTTGCCGATGGATAAAGGAACACCACCTGCTCCGGACTCGACCCAACGCCCGAAGCCACCTGCTTATCGTTCATTTTGGTGAGTTAGACACATTATGTGTGATGGCGTTGCGTCCGTGCCAACGGGCTACATAATCGGAATGGACCAATCAAAGTGTATATTCTCTATTTAACCTGGGTTAAATGGTTGTATCACCCTTATGTAACAGCAAGGTTGATAGAAATGTAATGTGTAATCTGTAATACTATCTATATAACACCATTACATCCATGATGCACCAAGAGCCCAATTGACGTGTTTGTTTGTTTCGTACCATGTTACATGCAGCTCCGCGAAGTGCATGAAGTCATCGATATTTCAGATATATCACGGCAGCATGTATTACCAGGTTGATTCTGGACTAGTCAAAAAGGTGGTTGATAATATGGGCATTATCAACCGAAATTAACGTCGGTCCTTAGGCCCGAAGCCGACTGAAAACCACTCGGACCCACAGCTTTTGTTTTCTGCAGGGCCTTATGTCCGACAGCTTTTTCATCCCCAATAACTAAGAATATTATTTCCATATTCAAATAGAGGGTCTACACATTCTGATCAGGACCCACAACTTTCTATGGATGGTTCTGGGTTCTCATATGGCCTGCAGCTGTTCAGGGTTAAGGGCAAACACTGAATAATGAGCAACGAACAGAGCCAATGAGGTGCTCTGTTACACAGTGAAACAAAGTGAGTGAGTGAGTTGGGTTTGAGGCCGCCTTGGATAATATTCAAGATACATCACGGTATGGCAGGTTCAAGTGCAAGAGAAGCCCGAAGTGATACAGGTCTATGATGTATGTCACTGGTATGGTGCTAGAATCGTAATTGGAGTGAACTGGGATTCGAACCCATAACCATACGTTCCTTGCATGCCCAAGGGGCATAACTCTGTACTGGGACATCAAACTATGACGTAATTATAACTGTAGGGGGATGCTGGGAAACGCATATAATACTACAGGTTATTGTGTTAGAAAAGGGCGGTGGGGTAGCCTAGTGGTTCAAGCGTTGGCTCGTCACGCCGAAGACCCGGGTTCGATTCCCCACATGGGCACAATGTGTTAAGCCCATTTCTGGTGTCCCCCGCCGTGATATTGCTGGAATATTGCTAAAAGCGGCGTAAAACTAAACTCAGTCAGTCAGTCAGTCAGTTAGAAAACCTTCAGTATATAAACCTTTATAAACTGAAAGGTCAGTTTACAACTTCCACTCTAACCAGCATTTGCTGTTCCTATTTAATATTATCATATTTGGGCGTTTTGAAAACCAATCGGACATTTCAGCTCATAGTTCGAAATCGATAGGCTAACTCTTGTCTGTAAATATATATACTTTTGATAGAAACAAACAACTCCATTTTAATTGAAACGGAGAATCAGTAAAACGGGAGATTCAGACCAAATGGGAAATATAGACTTGCTTCCTTTAAAGATAAAACATTATAGTAAGCATGACTGGAAGAGAAAAAAGATGGTTCAGGGACTTTAGACGACAAGGCAAATAAGTGAAGCGGCTGTAATATGCTCACATTAGATGGCTATTCCAACAGAGTTATGTCCCTTGTTCGTACAAGCCAGTCTCGAGACACAGGCTATCGATACATAAGGATATATATAGTACTATAGGGGCATATCCTATATACCGATAGCCTGTGTCTCGAGAATGAGTGAAATGGCCTGAAACACAGTCAATGAAACATATTTTTCCGCCCCACCATTTCCTTACTCATGTGCAAAAGGGCTTTTTATTGCTCAGGTCGATTATCTCCCAACAACCCTAGGTCTCCTTTTCAAATTTAATTGAGGTCTTTGTTTCTTTCAAAATTATAAATTTTCGGTGACTAATCTTTTGTCTGGTGTTTCAAATTTAATTACTTTTCGATTTATCTTTGCATAATAAGTGGATAAAACTACACTTGAAGCGATTAGTTATGGCGAGAAATATCTTCAGAGAGGACAACCACAGATTCACCTTATTGAAATAGGAGGTTATGCAGGAGTTTTAAAACAAACCATATGAATACAAATGACTCGAGACACCCTTTTTGGCGTCTGTTTGTGTGTTTGTTTTTTTGCTTCATAACATGTCACCATGTTTGATAAACTGTGAGTGAGTGAGAGTTTAACGACACCTAACAGTTTTATCAAGACATAGCCCAAAGTGACCCAGATTTGATTCCCTATATGGGTACAATGTGTGAAGTCCATTTCTGGTGTCCCCTACTGTGATATTTCTGGAATATTGCTAAAAGCGGCGTAAAACCATACTCACTCACTCACTGTGTTCATGCATTCATGACAAAGACTGGGAGATTTTAAGGATGAGTGAGTGAGTGATCTGTGAGTGAGTGATGTAGATCTGACTCAAACAAACAAAAGAATCAGCTTGCCACCAATCAACGTCACAGACTAAGAATGAAAATATGCATTAAAACAGACCAGCACACAAATATCACTTCATGTTTATTTTCTAGTCTACATACAAAATTTCTTTATACTTTTCTTCTAGCGTTTCCCATCGAAATCTGTTGAGATCAATCTGAAATAAGCAAAGACAGTTCAAAAATAATAAAAATAGATAACAAATTTTACAGAATGAAATCCTTTTTGTGGATAATATGGCTAACGTCTTATATGAGATAATGGCAAGTTGTGCATATGTGTGGAAACCTGACACACATCTCCCTGTAACTGTTTGTTTATTGTTTATTGTTTATTGTCACACGCAACAATTTTCCATCCTTGAACTAATCAATCTTGGACGGGGCAATCCAGTGATCTGTATTCAGAGCAATGATCCATGATGTAGGGGTACAAGGACATCTGGGGTGTAGCTACCATTATAAAAAAAAGGCCGGGCTTACACATGATTGTTGATAAAAAGGTTGGGCAAGCCCTCAATCTAAATATAAAGCTTTGCCACCTATCGGGCTTACACACACACAAAAAAAAATGGCTTGCTATGCGCCTGGACATGCTAAGTCACCTGGACTGACCACCCAATCCACCTGGCTACCTCTTATGACCAGTATGAAGTGCAACAAACCACTTCCTGTAATGGCACATCAGGAAATATTTTTTTAGCAATTGAAAGGTTCAATGCCAATGTCTACTGAACCTGTGAAGGATTATTTGACTGCTTCCCTCTCTGTTATAACGATATTTTTGTCAAATAAATTAATACACACATGTGGAAATACACCTATGGACCCCTCTTAAAAAGATCTCTTCTATTATTACCTGTGGTCTCTGTGTTCTGGGTAGGTGGGGTTTTGGCAGTATTCACGGAGTCTCTTGTACAACTGAGTTGGTGTTCTATATAGACATTGGGCTGAAACACAGAAGTAGGGGTGGGTATTGCAGAGAATTTTCATATTGCGATATATTGTGATGCGAAAGCATGTATTGCGATATGTATTGCAATATATTGCATGAAGTATTTTTAAACAAAAACTACTTATAATCAAGTTAATTCTTGATTTATAGAGCAAAAACACAACAAAATCACTAGGCTTGATTAAGCTTAAATAACAACTTTTAATCATGATAAAATAAAAATGTGAATAATATTTGGCACAAATGAAACAGGGACATATCCGAAGATTTCCGAGTGTTACGAAGTTTTCCGAATGCAAGTCAAAATACCGGTTTTCGATCAGCGTATCGCAATACGTATCGTTTTCAGGTCTGAATCGGTAAATACCGGTAAACCGGTTATATTGCGCAGCCCTACACAGAAGTCTTGCTAGAGTGATCTCCCTTGCTGGTGTTACTGATGCTTTCTTTTGAGGGGAAGGTGTCAATAATTTTGGAAATATAACAAATGCTGAATGCTATTGGTAATGTTAAAATGCACTCAACAATATTCAAGCTGCATGGTTGTGGCCTGTAACTAACTGAATCTGAACCAGAGAATCCTGTGGTTGATGACAATATCGTCACAAAATCGATCACTGGATTGTCTGGTTCAGACAAAACAATTCAGACATAGGATCTGGCTCATCTTTATCACCACAGAAGCACCATATTATATGGATGGACAAACAGACAAAGGATACTGATTCATGACAGAAAGATGATGGACACCGTATCATGACCAAAATTCATAATCACAGTCATACCTGGGAATATTTCAGGATACACCAAGTTATCTGGACAAAGGGGGATAGCACCCATTGTGTACAGCCTCCAGCCTGCAACATCAGACACAATCTTTACACCATCACAACATCATCAACACAACATCATTACACCTGTGGCATGATGAAATCTAACACTGTTACACAGACTAGGGCTGTTTCTAGGTGACATGGGGTCCAAATGCTTCAACGGGGCCATGACCCACAGTGCATTCATGTCAATCATCCTTAAAATCTCTCTGTGTTTGTCATGAATGCATGAAGACAATGTGTGTGAGTTTGGTTTAACGCAGCTTTTAGCAATATTCCAGCAATATCGCGGCTGGTGATGCCAGAAATGGCTCCACACATTGTACACATGTGGTATTTGAACCATTTAGCATGACGAGTGAAAACTTTAACCGCCCCGTAACACGTTGATGAAACAAAAGTTAGTTATATTCACTTGCTGGTGACCTGAATTATCAAAATGTTTTTTATATCTGTTTTTTTTTCACACAAATATTTTACACATTCATCCACTGGATTTGACACACAGATATATACAGAGAAATACCTACATTGCTACACCGAAGAATTCATGCCGAGCAGTCGACACAGCAACATCAGCAGCCTGCAGGGTTGTGTAGTAGTCTCCCTTGTTGCCCTGGTAACCCCATGTAACAATGTGATCACCTAACTTGGTCTTGGCTTCCGAAAAGATTTCTGCAGATTAAAACAGAGTTAATTGAAACTCTCGATAAAACAAAAGGGACACTTAATGTCTACCACACACATACCATGAGCGTACTTTGCTATAACCAATAAAAGGACACCCTCATTGTCTTACTGTTATCTTGTTACTCTAGACAAGCTGTTGTTATCAAACCCAGCCCCATCACATACCTTACATCAGTGTATGAAGTAAGACCAGTCCGACCGCCCCAGACGGGCTAGATTTCTGACTGACGGTCTAGATTTACAGCTAGCCAGTCCGATGGTCTGGTAAACATTTTAGGTGTTCCATACATCTGTGTAAATTCACCATATCTAGCTTGGTGTCTGGTCTGGTTAAATCCATTTTGGGCTGGTAACATTTTCAAGTTACCAGTCCTGATGTCTGGCTTGGTTTTTGGTTTATTTCATACACTGCTTACATGTACTGAACAGGCTTCTCACCCATGAATATCATTGGCTACCTCCTTGTACTGTTATCATAGTAGATGAAACCTTACTTGTGTATAATCCTACCTTGTACAGACTGAGATAGACAGACAGACACATCAGGGGTGGAAATAACCCATTGCCCGACGCCTGAGTCCAGTGTTTTTTTCTGTCGGGCGAGCAAATTTGTATATCACACTGTACCGGTGTCCAGTTGATATTCCAATGTTAATTATGTTGTTTATTTAAAAAATCAACAAGAAAACGGCCGGTATAGTGGAAAAATTATCAGGGCAAGTGATTTTACATGGGCCACTGTACCGGAGTACACTAGCAATTTTAAAGTTATTTCCACCCCTGCACATACACATATGGTCACACACAGACACACACACACTCAGGATTCATAAGGGCCAAGAAATATCCTCGACTTGTCTTTACAAATGAAAGAGTTGTGATCCATCAAACTGTTGGAGTTACAGAAGCAGCATGGTAGACAGCATGAGTGAGTGAGCAGGGGTATTTTATACCACAGTTAGCAGAGTACATCAGGGAAATCAATGGCTCTCTGTATCCAACTAATCACTTCATCTGACATAATCATGGGGCATGAAAACCTATAACCTGTGTATCTCTCGGCATAGCAAAGAGATACAGTCAGTTATTTTGACACTAGGAATTGAAACTGGCTTTCAGTAAGTCAGCCACATGGCTACACTGCGACTTTAGCCAGTCTGCAGCTGGACTCTGGTAAACATTTTATATTTCAATCAATCTTTATTTCAGTACTTAAAAAGGCCACAGGCCTGTAGTACATTTAGAGTTTACATGAGTAGATAGAAGTCATTTATAAATTCTTTTCTGTAACAGTACTTTTCTTAATCTCATAGCGAAATAGATGTACATTGCCAGATTCTGTAATAGTGATGTGGTAGTATCTGTTAATAGTGAAATTAATGTTCTTACACTTGGATGCTTATAATAGTATGGCTTTAGGTAGTTCCTTCGTAGAGTCGTATAAACAGGACAGATTAGAAAGAGATGTAGTTTATCCTCAACAGTATTCATATTACATAACTGACATATTCTGTTTTCTCTTTGTATACCAGTATACCTGCCAGTTTCAATAAGTAATGCATGGGAGGAGCGACGAAAACGAGAGAGAGAGCTATATGGAACTTCTCTACGTCGATTTTTGCTAAATAGTCTTCAAAACGTATAACCGATTTCCATTGATTATAATATAAACAATTTGTTGATAGAAGTAATGATTCCGACCAAGATAGGAAATACATGTCTTTCATTCTTTGTGTAAATGATATGATAAAATTTGCATGTAACTGAACATTGTGATCACACCACACATAACCATAACCAGCTTTGTACACCAACTCCCTAATATCAGTCACCCAATTTCTTTTCCCATTTTCGTCATACAATTTCATCATATCATAACATTTTTCGAAACATTTTATAAAGGACTGAACACAATGGACTATGTTACCTGGTACATCTGTATACGTCTCTCCCATCACAGAAACCTGGAACTGATACCCTTCATCATGGAGACGGAACAATGTCTGGAAGAATGTCTCTGGATCCTTGTCATGTTCCCTACAAACAAACACCCTGGGACTCACTCACTGTCTCTACATACACGGTGAGGTGAGGTGAGAAGCGGTGAAGTGAGGTTAAACATCATAGTCAAGATTACTGCGCTTATAATGATTATATTCTGTCACAACACATTTTTTGTTTAAGTCTCACAGCTTTTACCAACATGTCCAACAACAGAAATCTGTTTATTAGCAATATTTTCTGACATTGAGGTGGTTGTAATTGAGAATATTTTTCAGCAGAAACAGTTGTTTACTGAGAAAATATTTTGACTGAAATTCTTGTTTAATAATCAGATAAGAGTATGTTCCAACAGATGTCTGTTTATTGAGAATGTTTACATCTAAAGATGCTAGGAGCAACAGTTGACAGCAAATCTCCCATAATGTTAACAGCAGAATAACAATGGCAGAGTTTTCTTGATTTGCCAGTTGTAAACATGTTGCAATGATCTGCCTTTTTAAAGTGAGTGAGTGAGTCTGGTTTTACGCCGCTTTTGGCAATATTCTTGCAATATCACGTCGGGGGACACCACAAACAGGCTTCACATATTGTGCCCATTTGGGGAATCGAACCTCGGTTTTCGGCGTGACGAGCGAACACTTTAACCACTAGGCTACCCCACCGCCCCGCCTTTTTAAAGACTATTCCAGGGACTACATAGTATAAACCTCTGGGCTTGCAATTAGTTTTGCCTGAAAGAGAAAGGGATGTATACTATCCAGACTGATGCATTGAGCCCTCAAATGTTGCTAGGAAATGAGGACTGAAATCATCAACACAAGTAAAAAGACTTTTGAAGTCTGAAAGGTGAAATGACATTGAGTACTCATCCCTCTAACTGCCACTCATCCCTCTAACTGCCACTCACCATCTATGTGCCCACACAATATGAAGTGATCTGTCCCCTGTATCACACAATCTGTTCATCTGGGTAGTCTGTCCCCTGACACTGGAGGAGCTCTGGGACACACAACACAGTCCATCACCAGCTTCAGGTCCTTTCAGCACTTCCAGGTCCCCCAGCATCTCTGCTGCATCACGAACATCACTGCCCGTTTTACCGTGGGTATTCTGCTGAAAGTCACTTCTCAATTCTTGTGCAGGTTTACCTACTTCTATAGAATCATTTGCCAAACTATGTTTAACATTTTGCACATTACATCCCCCTTGTCCTGTAGGACTTGGATCCAGTTTCCCTCTTTTGGACCAAGTCCGGTGAAGGTCACCACATGGGCGATTCTCTTCTATGTGATGGTCACTGTATAGGAAACTCACATCTGTCTGATGGTCAGTGCTGTGAGATGTTACCTGCATCAGAGTTGCATCTGTGCCCTGGGTCTTATCACAGCCAGGGTAAAGAAGGACAGGGGAAAGTACAGAACCTGACATTTCGGTCTGATCTGTTCAGCCAGACCCTTTGGTCTGTGGTCTGGTATAAGCTTGAGGAAGGAGGATATATTATCCAGAAAGGAATCTCTGTTGTATGTGGAGTTGAACAGAACAATATCCGCAACCAGGCTGCATAAAAACAAAAAATACAAACAGCTTAATGTTTTCAGTGAGTGTGTTACCAGTGGGTTACATGCTTGTTTCAACAGTTTTATTCAGTCTCTGCAAAGAAATTGCATCATAATGCTTGGCACACCAAGGAGACATCATGACTCACCATGACAGTGTCAGCTTAACACAAAAAATGCTAAGTATAACTACAGGTCCACATTTGTGAACCAGGAGCTGCTTGAATATAGAGGTTGGATCATCACAAATCAAGATTCATGAAACTGTTGTATGAAACCCATGTTCAGCCCATCGTTGCAGAAAGTGACATCATTCTTTTCAGTAACTACAATGGTAATAGGAATCTGATTCTGAATCTAAATGATGTACATATCAATCAGTTTTTAATTTCCATGTTTATTCAGAGTATGGATTATTATTGTTGATTTTAAAACCCCATAAATTGACAATGTAGAAATCATAAAATATGATTCCAGTGCAACAAATAGTTACACCATTTACAGTTCCTGAACAATTAATAGTTAATAATCAAACCAACCTTGACAGTATTTGATTATATCCATACTGAAAGTCTCTGTCCTGTTGTTTCCGGACAGGGTACACAAGCTGGTTCTCATGGAAGTACACAACCTTCCTCAGTCGCCCAAGGTCAGGCCTAAGGGCAGTTAACTCTGCCAGATTCAATACTGAGCTGGTGAATAATACTCTGGATAATAATGGATTGGAGAAATTAATGAAAGTTGTGAACACATACTGCCTTTTAGAAAGTTGTCAAATGCAAATTTGTTATTTTAGGATTGCACTTTCCCAGTAAAGTACAGATTCTAGTACTTTTGTGGTTTACATCCTTCTTGGATTCGAACCCACACGCTCAGAATAATGTACCTAATCTGCCACAACAAGTCAGGCAATTCCCAATCCCAAGTATTACACATTTGCATTAATGAAACTTATCATCCAAAACTGAGTTCCACAGGAGATATTGCTTGTGTGAGATCATATGATATCTCCTAGGAGATATCGTTTTGACAGTAGATTTTGTACAATGTTCTGACAATGCTATGACGTCATGAACTTGATGATGTCACAATGCTATGACATCGCTGCACTGCAAGTCTAATGGCAGAACCCTGTTCAGAGATGTACAGTTTTATTGAAAACTAATGAAGAGTGATTTTGAATGATAAATAGAATCTCACCCTCGTGTCTTCTGATATCAAATATATCAACGCTCGTTGATAAAAGTAAAAATATCCTCTGCAAGCCTCGGATATTCGTAATTTTATCAACTCGTGGTGATATATTTGATATCAAGAGACACTCGGCCGAGATTCTCTATTTATCAAACAAAGTTAAAATAAGGGAAAACTGATTTCTATGGATAGTCAACTTCTTTATTGCAATGAGTGCGACGTTTCGGTGTAGGTACTAACACTGTTATCAAGCAAGTGATACAACAACTGAAGCAAGGAGAATATATACATAGCTGTATAGTGAGTATATACAATTAACAAGGTTGACGTACATTGGATATTTGATAAGTGATTACAGCAGAGGAGGTTGATGTACAGAGTGATTGATTGTGATTAGAGTTGAGTTGACGTACAGTAGTTGTGATTACAAGCACAAAGGAGGGAGCATGGAAGCCAGATGGACAAAGGAGGTAGGGAAGGATTACTGGTGGTGGTCTTTGGTTGTTGTATCACTTGCTTGATAACGGTGTTAGTACCTACACCGAAACGTCGCACTCATTGCAATAAAGAAGTTGACTATCCATAGAAATCAGTTTTCCTTCATCTTCACAACTTCTAAAATGCCTCTCAAACAAAGTTAAAATAGTATTGAATACCACTTCATTTCTTACACTAAACGTTTCATACAATACGTTTACATCAAACAAATGTTGATGAAGCCCTCCACTCAGCCATATTCCAGTAAGTAACGTTAGCCTTAAAATAATCGACTCTGGATCAAGCAATACAGATATTATACAAATAGATATTATGAACAATTATGAACATCGATCATGACAGCAATCACATATTGAAAATCAACTTTACTGAAATGAAGTACATATTATTTCTAACTTTTGAACTCTTAAACCACACGTACCGATACTCCCCACACTCACACTTTGACTGAAGTAGAGAGCGGAGGTCCTGGCCCTCCAGTGCCATTTCTTGGCTGGCAAAGTATACCGAACGCACCCCGTCAGTTTGTCACACAGCAGATCAACCAACTGCTTGTGAGATCCGCCATAAAAACCTTCGATTATCAAAATATTACGTCCGTTTTCGTATTTTTCTGAAAGTGCTGCCATCCTCGTGGACAGCCCGGGAGGGATTTCAGTTTCTACATGAATGCATCGGTGAGGTATTAAATATCTACACGACTACAGCTGAATCTCTCCGAAGTGGAACTCAAAGTAAGACATATGGATTTGTTTACTAAGGGGGATAACTCTAAAGTCACTACTTGGGTGCACACCGTGGTAAAATTAAGTCGCTATGAGAATCAGCGAAAGAAGGTTATGTATATGACGTTAAAATGAACACCGCACGTTGACAGTCATGACATTACGTTTATTCATCTGGTAAATTGACTTGTTACGCTATTGTTGATTTTTGTTTTGTATTGGGAATTTCATGTATATTTCATTTTTGTTCTGGGGAGGTAGGGGGTTCATCAATTTTGTACACATACTAGGGGGTCATCACTTTTGTACATAATAATATTTTCAAAATTATGCTAAACAATATGGGAAGGGGGAAGGGGTAATTGATTTTGTACATGACATGCAGGGAGGGGGGTCACTTACTTTGTACATACATTTTAGGGGGGGTCAGTCACATTGTACATGTTTCTCCATAAAAATCATCATCACCCCCATAAATTATGAACGGTCCCTTATTAAAGTATTTTGATTTTGTCATGTGGACAAGGTGTCTGACATAGGGAGTTCCTTCACATTTTTCAGGATGCTTCTATCTGTCAGTGATTAATGGTTGTCAAAGGGACTATTATATTACACAGTTTTTTAGATTCCATTTATTAGAACCTTTTAAACTTCCGTCAGTAGCTGCTGCTTTGATTTCAATAAATTATTTATAATCCTTTTCTGGGATGTTTATAGAAAAAAGTTCAAAACATTGTCACTGAGATTGCTGTACTAATATGCCTCAGACTGCTGGAAAAAAAGTAAAATCTAAAACACACACTGAAGAAAGATATATCTTTTAAATAGAAAGACTATCTAGGCTTGTAGTTTTAAAAAACAATCTGGTGTTGCATATGTAGATGAAAACTATATGTTGTTTCCACAGGAAACCTTGGTGTCCTCTTTTCCGTATTCACCGGATTTAGCACTTTTGGATTTCAACGAACTATTTTACACAAAGATCGATAACATTATATTTGATGTAGAGGACATTTTACACCACCAGGAGGAAGCATTTGATCAACTTTGGCAGAAGTGTGTGGACCTCAGAGGTGATTATGTTGAAAGTACATTAGCAGGCCAACATAGTTAGGCTCAGGACTTGGTCATCACTTGAATGTTCAGATGGTGTCATCAGTGCAGCGATGTGAAATTTAAGTTTGTTATGTTGACATTCGTCATATAACTGTTCTATAGTGACCATGATTTAATGGAAGTAGCCGACGTCAAAATAGTATTTTAGTCAAACTGGCTTTAAGTGTTAATTTTTCAGAGACTAGCCATATTATTATGGAAATGGGTAATGAGTGGCCGATTGAGTGACATCGTACCCAGTGGTGTGGCTTGTCAACCAAGGATTTTTATGGTATCCCAATTGCATAGATTGATGCTCATGCTGTTGATCACTGGATTGTCTTGTCCAAACTTGATTATTTACAGACCGCTGCCATATAGCTGGAATTTTGTAGAGTGCAGTGCCATCAGGTTATAGCAGCTGTTGGTCTGGTTGCAGTTTACTGACACTCTCAGTAATATTCCAGCCATGTCACAGAAGCATGGATGAGAAAATCAAGGGACAACATTGTGAGCAATGTTCAGTGCTGTTTGGGTATGAAGACACACAGAAGGGCTTGTAATACAAAAAGCGGGATATTTCCTCTTATATAGTGTTGGGTCCCCATCACTGATCATTTATGCTTTGATGCCAGTTACAATCGTTTTTGAGTTACGATTCCCTGTATTGTTGACACACAATAAACAAAGTCTCTGGCCACTCATTTGGCTTCCTCTTAAACCAGCATTGGTTGCTGGGGATCAATTTCAGCACAGAGGGGCAGTGGTTAAAGTGTTTGCTCATCACATAGAAGACCCAGGTTCGATTCCCCACATTGGTTCAATGTGTGAAGCCCATTTCTGGTGTCACCCACTGTGATATTGCTGGAATATTGCTAAAAGCAGTGTAAAACCATACTCACTCACTCAAGACCAGAATCCCCATAAGGCCATGTTGTAACAATCAGTGTTACTAACTAGTATGAAACATTTCAGTTTCAATAGATTGTCTGTGTTTTATTACAAGTACATGATTCATTTATTGAATGTAAATTAAAACAAGAATAAGTGCAAAAACATTCAGAGTATTTTTTATTAAACTAGATCCAAGAAATAAAATCTATCCTTAATATGAAAATAGCACACAAAATTGTGTGAGTATATGTGTAAATGAAGTCTACAAACTGATGATGAATGACACAGTTGTTTAAACTGTGTGTTAGTGGTTTATAAACTCAGTATTGGCAAGGTTTGTTCGTGGTATAACTGTTAGAGGTAGATAACACAATATCTGTATCCACTGTAGGTTGTATAAAACACAATATTTGTACCCAGGGTTCACTGAAAAAACAAACATAATATTTGTGCAATATTTGATCATATATAAACACAGTTGACATTTCCTTGTTCTATTTGGAGTGGGTACAATGTGTGAAGCCCATTTCTGGTGTCCCCCCGCCGTGATATAGCTGGAATATTGCTAAAAGTGGCATAAAACTATACTCACTCACTCACTCACTCTATTTGGAGAGTATAAAAATATTGTGATATAATACTTGACTCAATAAAGTTGTCATGATGAAATTCTTAATTCAAGCTAATGTGATTAACATAACAATGAATTGAACAATTTATGAAGTATAAATATATAATAATGACTACAGATAAAACATCGAAACATTTTGGAATGTGAATCAATGTATAAAAGGGACCCTCTTACAATAAACCCTACGGAAGGTCCTATCCTAGACTAACAACTAGTCTCTGAAATGAACATATTTTACTGAAAAAAGTTCATAGTAAAAAAAATATAATATTATGAAAAGGAGCCCTGAGACTTTCTTCATTTTCAGCCTGAAGCTGAGGAAATATAGACTTGCCACATTTTCTAGACTTGCGTGGGCTTTCTTGGATATATTTGCTTCAGGGTATGTACGACAGACTAGTCCTATCCCATCACAGGAAGTATCAGAGTACTGTCCAGCAACCTCTCTCTCTTTACTGGCTCAGTGGTCTTAGGTGTAGAGTTACATCCCTTGTGCAGACCACCTACCTATGATTTGGGGTTTGAATCCCACTCTGCCCTGACCATGTGTCTGGGTTTGTCTGCACCATACCTGTGCTCAAGGTTTCATCAAAATGGAAGACATCTACTGGCAAACAAGGATAAGTTGGACCAGCGCAGAGAATGCATTTACGAGAAGTAAGCCATTTAGGGATGTAGTCTTTGTTGTCAGCAATAGAGGGTTTTCCTTTAGATGTACAGGGAAGGGAAACAGATGCTTCTATGTATTTTCTAATTATAAATATTTACGATGACAAAAATAAGATCTGGAACCAGTAAGGTACAATTAAACATTAACATCAATCTCCACGTATTCCCTGAAATCATATTCAACCTCGACACCTTTTTCAGGCACAAAATCCGCCACTGCAGCATTGATAGCTTTGAACAGCGGCCATTTTGTTTTCCCATCACAAGATCCCCTGTAGTCGTCGGCGTTGAGCATGTAGACCATGGCTCCTCCAAACCCCTGCTGGAGCAGATACTGTGTCTGAAAATAGGTCAAGGAGAAGACTGACTGACTGAGTATAGTTTTACTCCGCTTTTTAGCAATATTCCAACAATATCACAGCGGGGTACATCAGAAATGAGCTTCACATATTGTGCCCATGTGGGGAATCAAACCCGGGTCTTCAGCATGACGAGTGAACGCCTTAACCATTAGGTTACCCCACCGCCCCTCAAGGAGATGATATAGCCAGGGTATACTTGTTACAGGAGATAAATACAGAGCTAGGTTATAGTGTCACGTGGGGAATCAAACCCGGTCTTCAGCATGACGAGTGAACGCCTTAACCATTAGGTTACCCCACCGCCCCTCAAGGAGATGATAGACTTGTTACAGGAGATAGATAAGAGCTAGGTTATAGAGTGACTTGGGAGATATGTCCACGTGATAACTTCTATAGGGAATCAGTTCTGTCAGGATGGACCTCTACAGGATTCACCTAGGTAAAAATGTTTGTTTGGAATAATCTCCCCAGGGAAAATAGGACCCAAAAACAATTTTGCAAGAGGTGAGTGAGTGAGTATGGTTTTACACCGCTTTTAGCAATATTTGAGCAATATCAGGCAGGGGAACATCAGAAAAAGGCTTCATACATTGTACCCATGTGGGGAATAGAACCCAGGTCCTCTGCGTGATGAGCGAACTCTTTAGCCAATAGGCTACCCCACCGTCCCTAGTGTGGGAGGAAGGCCAGATGAAGCAGTCTAGGACAAACCAAACGTAATCGGGTAGACTGGGATTCGAACTCACGATCAAAGGATGACTGGGTCACTAAAATATTATTTTCTGATTATAAAGCGTTTATCTCACCGCAGTTTGTTTTCTCATATGCCTCCCTATCATCCAGTTGCAAATTGGACAAAGTCACATGAGGGAATATTATGATACACACTGGCAGAATGTCATGATGGTGTTTACCTTTAATGTGACGCTGCGAACGTTGTCGTAAGAGATCCACAGATCCTCCTGGTACAGATAGGGGACCTTACTCTGGTCGTCCCACACTACGGTTGTACTGGTGTTCTTAGCCAACTCACAAACCTGAAATGTGAAAACAACACATCAAGTTATTTATCTGTGAGTGGGGGTGAGACAGACAGAGAGCAAAACTGAGTGAGTGAGAGATTCAGGGAGTGAATGAGCAAGTGTGAGAGTGAGTAAGTTAAATACATATATTAATTTCAACAAAGCTTACTTAAAGGTATAAATTTCAACTATAAAGCTTGATTTAAACATTTTGGGAAAGAATTCCGATAAAAACATATTAGTGTTTAGGAAATTTATTCTCCCTAACAATGATAAAATTCAAGATCTCATCTTTCAAAATTTATTGACCTTTCTAGTGATGTTATCAAAGCTTTGTGGTTGCTAAAATTTTGTGGTCAGGGGAAATGTAACAGTTTGGCAACAGCTTGCCAAATACCTGTCAATAACCATGTCAAGGTCAATAACTTCTTTCCTCCCCTTTTCAACCATCCACGTAAAAATTATGAACGTCCATCTTATCTATTGGAGAAAGGCAACTATTATGTGGAACAACTCCAATATGTGAGTGTGACCCAATGGTCTTGTAGTGTCATTTAAACCATATTTACATGGATGCATTAATGTAATTGGGACCCACTGCGATGTGATAAAATGCCAAGTATAAATCAGAGTTTATACAACTAAGGTATAGAGGGTGAGTGCCGGTCTTTGATTTAGAGAACTTTTCCCTTTTTCAACCTGAGAATGATCTTCCGTATGCCGTAAAATACGACGGAACAACCTGTTGATAGTCATCATATTCTCTTTCAAAATAGGGCCAGAAATGGGCATGTTTTTACTGCATGCAGTCAAAACCAATCATGTGTCAGTGTATTAATTTTGTCACATTTACTGTTTTCATTCACACGAAAATTTATAACACAAGTGACACGTGTCACTCACCAATTTACCTGACCTGCTTAGGCCTAATCCTTATCCATACTCCTTTTATCAGGCAACATCAATGAGCTTAATGCCGATGGTAATCCACTGTGTTATTAATACACGTTCAGCCAATCAGCCAATCAACAGGAGATTGACAGTTTAGAGAGCATCAATTACTGTACAAACAGGCAATTGGGCAGTCTTTGCTGTGCCAAAATATGGAATAGACTGACGCTGGAATAGAGGGCGTGTAAATGATCATAAATTAACTAGTTTCTGCCAGGACCAAATTTTAGTGCCGATATTGAGAGCATGCCGGATTAGAGGGCGTCCACTGTATATCTATTTTGAGTTTTCCTTAGCAGGAATCATTTGATAACATGTTACGTTTAATGTTTTCACACCCACCCACCATAAAAATTGAAAAAAAGTGGGTTGAGCCATTTAAAGTAGTTATTGTTTGGGTCAGCAAAGTTTTGAGATAAACGTGTAAAAAGAGGAATGATTTGGGATTACAGTGGTTTGGAATTGTTTTCTTCCTCCCATAGTGATAGAACTCTATTTCTATGACAACAGTCACCTTAGGGATTTGTTATATCCACCATTCAAAACTAATCTCTCATATTTCCTGAAATCTTGTTGAAAATGTCATGCCTAAAATGTTGGAGGTATTTTTCTCCATCATAATGGTATATCAGGCCATGTTTGTTTGTTGGTGGCCTCCATTGATCATTAAAAACTCAAACACATAATGTTGATTGAAGGGAAGGGAGTTGTGCGGTTGGACCCCAGGGTCCTCCCCATGGATCCACCTAGGCACTGCCATACATATGTGTGAAACACTAAAAGAACCCAAACAGGCCATTGGTTTTGCTCAGGTCTAAGCAGCATCTCAACAGACCCTGTATACTTACAGTATCATAGGCAGGGGAGTCCCCGATTCGTCCAACGCCTTTAGCCAAAGAGTAGAGTCCATGGGACTTTTCATCCAACAGCGTGTATGTGCGAGAGTACGTGGGAATTCCTGTCATCACCTGACTCTTCTTCATTCCCTGCCGGACCCATTCATTGGCCGACCATACCTAGACAGTGGCAGATCAAGGATAGTTTTATTATTATAATAGGTGAGGTGAAACGGGGTTAAGCATCATACTTAAGAATATTTTGCTCATATGACGATGTGCATGCATGTGTATGTGTGGCTGTTTGTACTAGCCCAGACTTAAGCTGGTTTTATAGTGCTAGCTTACTGAGATACCATGCAGCAGTTGAGCATGAATACCCCACCCAGACACATTATACAGTTTGGTCCCATTTTGCCTACACCCCAATTTACCTACAGTGAAAGTGAAGGGAATGTGGGACACCCCTTTGCATAAATGAGTATGTCCCAAGAATAATAACCTCTGCCGATATTCTGCTCAAAGTTCATAGTGACTGACAAAGTGACTGTTTGATCTTGATCCTACCATACTCACATACTTTGATCATGAGAGAACAGGCTTCTCCATACGTGAAATAAATTAGCCATGGAACCTTACCATACTTACTGTTTCCCATTAATGTCGAGAGCCAGGCAGGGACCAACAAGTACCATATTTTAACGTTTTGGGGTATGCCATGGCCGTGGATCCAACCAACAACCTTCCACTCTCCGGGTGGATGCTCTAACCACTACACCATGGAGGCGGTATTATAATAACATTAATAATGACAATAGTGGCTATTTCTATAGGCACCAGTGTCCACTCACTAGTGCATGCTCATGGTGGAATAAAACTGTTGGAATGTTACAAATCATTCATAGGCCAGTGTGAAAAAGTGTGTCTTTAGATTGTTCTCAAAAGAATCAAGAGAATGAGAGAGTTTGATATGTAGTGGTACAGAGTTCCATAGAACTGGGTCGGCATGCTGGAAAATCACTACTGTAAAACAGAGATCAGATTGAGCTGGAACCTTCAAACACAAATGAGTCACAACCAGTCAATATGTATCATTTTGTTGAATTTTCTCAGTGGATGAATAATTCTCCAGAAAGAGTTATCTCCTCCCCAGCTTCAAAAACATATAAAAAAAATTACATGAAGAGCTCTAATAAACATGACTTTAATTTTTCATTGTTTCATTTGAAACAGATTGTTTTAACTTGAGGAGAATATTTTTATTATAATCACTACTTGACAAAATATTATTCTCTGATTTCAAGTGTGTCCTTCATTTAGGAAAGGTGTTGCACCTGTTAAGACAATTAGTTGTGGGTGTCTATTTTAACTCAGGACCCCACGAGATCAAACATACGAAGTATCTGTTTTTAAAGATGGTCCTGTCCAGCACATCGTCCCCGGGATAGAGGGGGCTGTTGAGGCCAGTGAAGGGGAACACTTCCAGGTACAAGTGCATGTCGTAGGTCATCACGTTCACAAAGTCCACGTACCTGTCAGCAAACAGACATTGGATGACACCTCAGGGCAGACCACAGGCTTAACCTTCAACTAAGCTTCAGAAATAGACTCAGCCTTCATTTAGTTGGTTGGTTTGTTGTTTAACGCCACACTCAGCAATATTCCAGCTATATGGCAGCGGTCTGTAAATAATTGAGTCTGGACCAGACAATTCAGTGATCAGTGCATCAATCTAAGCAATTGGGATATGACTGACTGAGTTTGGTTTTACGCCGCTTTTAGCAATATTCCAGCAATATCACGGCGGGGGACACCAGAAAAGGGCTTCACTCATTGTACCCATGTGAGGATTCGAACCGGGTCTTCGGCGTGACGAGCCAACGTTTTAACCACTAGACTACCCCACCGCTCCCAATTGGGATATGATGACATGTATGAACCAAGTCAGCGAGCCTGACCACCCGATCTCGTTAGTCGCCTCTTACGACAATCATGGGTTACTGAAGAGCAATTCTAACCCTGATCTTCACGAGTCAACCTTCAACTAAGTTCAGTTTGCATCAGGAACTTAGATGAAGGTTGCCCTTTCAGAAAGTTTACTGATTATTACAAAAACAAAATATCAATGCAGGTTAACATTGAGTTTGCTTAATCAACGGCATCCTAAGAATAACGATCAATTTCCAAACTACTTTTCCTAGGCTTCATTAACATGGGTAACATTAAAACCTCATTGTATCACTCTCACTCACTCACTCACTCACTCACTCAGTCGTAACAATACTTACTTGGCTAGTTCAGCCACCTCGTAACAAGAGCTGATCATCTCCTCTCCAGCACTGACGGCCATGGACAGCAGCAGACGACTTCCGCCACTCTGTGCCTGGTCTGCATCGAACAACTCCCTAATAGTCTGTAAAGAAACACATCCAATTTTTTTTGAGCAGGACAGCTGTTGGGTTTACACTGGTTTGGATCTGGCCGTTGTATATTCTGACTGTTGGGTGAAGACTATGATATTTTTAAAGATCTGTTCTTGAAAAATATTTGAAATTAATTATCTTTTTCCTTAGCTTCTGATCAAAATAATTCCAATCCATGCTGGAATGTTCTGAAGTGTGCTTGGCTCTTCCTCTCAAAGAATGGGTTTGTTGTGTATATTTTAAAGAGATGTGTATATTTTAAAGAGAAAATATAAAGGCGAAAACTCTCAATTTGGAAATCGAGGACTCTCTGTCCTGCGACCACCAAACTAACCCAGTTTGACTAACCTTCACTAACAGGGTGAGATTGTGTCTGCGCGCAGGAGGGTGGCCGAATGTGGGGAATTCCCAGTCCATATCCAGACCATCGAAGCCATACTTCCTCATCCAGGGTACTGTACTTCTGGCAAACCTGGGCACACGGACTATACGATCACAGATACTACACTAGATGTTCTGATAATACTACAGCATTAAATGTTCTGGATTTCTAAACATTTTTAGAAATAATTTCATGTACATGTGTTAGACACTTGACTTTCATAAAATGATAACTTGATATTTTTTCAGCGTAACAAAATTGATATTTCATTAAAACTTAAACTCTGGCATTACATATTGTTTAAAAGAAACCCTTGTAACAATGTATTTATTGTGGCTGACAATTTCTTATTTTCAACAGTTTGTAACATCAGAATTTGTTTCAAACATTTGTGGGAATTTAAAATAAAAGTTTGATATTTTGTTATAAAACCCCAACTCCCAAACATCAAATGACAGATCCCTTATAGTGATCCTAGCTTTTAACACACAAATGCGAAGACCTATATCATACTTTGTCCTATTTTCTTGGGTGTTTAAAACCTGGGAAAAGTTGCCTCCATTGCAAAGCAAGACTTTCAAGGACGGCTTCAGTTTCTTCATAGTTGCAACTTTGGAGTAGTAGATAGCTTCATCGGACGCATTACTAGGTGTCATCTCTGCATCCTTGATGTATGTCCCCAAGAAGATGATGTGTGAACAAAGTGACACATTTATCGGTGGAGGAAGTGGGCTTGTGAATGGTTGGTGATCCATATAAAAGTAACACACAATGTTGAATGTGGAGTTATCTCCCCTTACTTGTTGTTGAGAGTTACCTCTCCTTGACTGGTAAGAACTGAATGAGTATTGTCTTGAAATACTTGGAGAAGAATCAGCATCTGTGAATGGAGTGTTCAAGTTAGTTGGGATTTTATAAATACTTTGCACAAATGTCAGTAAACACAGACCATGATCAGTGAGTGAGTGAGTGGGTGGATATGTCACTGACCAAAACGTTAGTAGCTACTCTGTTTAGGCCCTGCCAGACCAATTTTATTTCTTGTTTTACAGATTTTTGTCCTGAGAAAATCTAAAGGCAGAAGGGAAAAAAATTAAAAATAAATAATTACTAAAAACTTATTTTACTTTTGGCAATTTATGACGTGTATGTTTGGCAAAGCACAATCTAAAAAAAAAAATTCTTGTAAATTTACATGTTTGACCAATAAAACATTAGGAATTATTTTTGGAGCGGGGAAAATTAACTTTTTTTTCTTATTCTTAAAAAAAATACGACAGGCGGATCCGTGAAACTAGAAATAAACTTGGTCTGGCCTTATTAAGAATTTCAAACATTCTGTAGATTGTCATTCCATTTTTCTCCTATCACAACATGGCGTAATGGTTAAGTTTAGCATTTGAAGCAGTTGCCTGTCATATCGAAGACCTAGGTTCGATTCCCCACACGGGTATGATGTGTGAAGCCCATTTCTGGTGTAATCTGACTTGATATTACTGGAATATTGTGTAAAGTGGCATAAAACTGAACTCAAACACTCACTCACACAATCAGAACGTAAAATCCAACAGGAGCTAAGTTGTGTGGTGTAAGGTATGGTTAACTGTCACATTCAAGATTATTTCAGTTTATGTTTGTTGGTTTTGAAGTGCTAATGTGTTAATGTGAAATTATCCAAATCACCTTGGACACCCATCAAGATACAGGTGACAGCTGCAGCCAGGGCAAGTATAGTCCTCATTCTGATCTAGATGTGGAGTATTCACTCTTCAAATCTACAAAACAAGATAAAAGATTCACAAAACATGGGGAACTCTCTTTATGCATGATTGTTATATATGTTACCCTATTTTTGTTTTGTTTGTTGTTTAAAACCATACTCTAAGGGACTGTTGATAATGTATAGCTAGGGGTGGGGATAGGGTGTTTGTCAGCAATGGGGTGGGGAGAGCAATTTTGTACATGAAAATATTATGCAATAATTATCATGTAGAACATGGAAAGGTGGTTGGGTCATTGATTTTGTACATGATATGATATGCAGGCGGGGTGGGGGGGGGGTGGGTATACATAGTAAGTGTGTCACTTACTATGTACATACATTTTAGGGGGGAAGGGGATGTCATTCACATTGTACATAGCCATAAATTATGTACAGTCCCTAACTATTGGTTACCATTTACAATCTGGATACGATGACAATGTGTGGAGCCCACTTCTCGTGTCCCCCGCCGTGATATTGCTGGAATATTGCTAAAAGTTAAAAGCAGCGTAAAACCATACTCAGTCAGTCAGTCAGACAACCGTCAACAAAGTCAGTTTTGCCTGATCATCCAAATACCTTTGTCACCTCTTGCACTGTTAATTCTAAAGACACTTTAAAAAATATATAAACTGCTGTTTGCAATGCAAAAAATCAATTAATTAAGCAGGAATACAACCCTGGTTAAACGACTGTCTTAGCTGGAGTTTTTCAAATATTTCAGACCGCCTTTGTCTGCTAGCTCTTACCTGTCAGATTTATATCTATCTGTCTCACAGCTAATAAAACACTGATTCAACATATTAAAGGTATGTGTTCACATCTGGTCATCTAGAGCTAACATGGGAATGACAACAACACCAAGTAAAATATTTCCTCTTTCAGTATAAAACCTATATAATTCATACAAGGAAGTGTTTGTCAAGATTAGCATTTCAACTGTGACTCATTATTGTGTTCACAGGAAGTACAGCAGTCTAAATACATGCCCCATTGAAAACAGTATACATATACCCCAGTGTAGTCATTGAAATAGGTACTCCTCATTGAAGGAAAGAACAAAACAAATAAAGAACAGTGTGAAACATATATAATGCCTCATTGAGGACCTGAATTCTTTGAAGAAAACATATACACAAAAGAACAATATGATATATAGTTGAATCACTGAAGTACAAAGTTAAATATACATGACAAACATTGTGAAATATATCCAATTCATTTGCAGAACGTTATGAAATGTATCCCCTCACGGAAGGAACAGTAGGAAATGTGTGTGAAACTGAAGAACAGTAAGATATAAATAAATACACCCCCCACCCCACCAAAAAATGTATTATAAATCTATACCTATAAATACAATGCCGTCCGGTAATTCCGCGCACCTAAGCACATCGATCGCAACACGGCAACTAGCGTCTGGTATTTTTGTGGTTTAGGTGACTAAACATTATGGTATGCATCATATTTACCTAGAAATATAAGTTTTATTGACGACTATAAGATTCTAACGTTGCAACAAGCCATACGGTTGACATTACCGGCGTTCTGACGATATCGCTTGTTGTCCGGTAAATCTGCGCAGCAACTGATGTGCATAACATCCAGCTGGAGATCCGAAGTATGGAATATTTACCTTCTTTGAAGAACAGTACAAAGATTGTCCCAACACTGAGAGTCATTGCAAAAATCTAACACACACTGAGGATCATAAACGTATGATGTTATATAGACAAGTTAAAGTTATACCCTGTTAAAACATGACATTTGACTAAGCAGAGCTTCCTTAATTTCTTTGGTCTGACAATATAATAAACTTTATCGGCGTACAATTTTACACCAACCTGTAGTCTCACGTGTCTGTTGCTATCTCCTACCGTAGTGACAACGCCTGGTGAGGCAAACAGCCATTGATTTGCTATGTTGATTGACAAAGGGACATTGAACTTAGTCACATGGGGTTGCGCTTGTTTACGAAGGGGGGATAACTTCAATTATTGTAGGATTTGATACCATGACTTGAGCGTTCAGGTGGTGTCATCAGCGTAACGTGTGAAATTTAGGTTTGTTACATAGGCGGATCGAGAAATTTTCAAAAGGGGGGTTCAGGGGTTCGAAGACTCATTAACAAAACATTAACTTCAATGTGGTCTTTAGTAGAGGTTGTCGGATTAATTGAAATAATCGAAGATTGGTCGCAGTGACTAAACGACCAAGCAATCGATCATGTTTTCTCATAATCGAACACAAACAATTCTGGAACACTTGTTTTCATCAACAATATTTTTCACAAGGTTTTGTCTGTTACATTCCATAAGCACTACAAGCTTGTTCCAAGTCATCAATGAATTTATCTTAAAGACATCAAGAAATTTATGTTCCTAACATACTAGTCATCCCTTAAAGATGTGAAATTTTGCCAAAAAACAACAAAAATAAGTTCTTGTGTTTTCCTTATATTTTTGTGCATTTACAAATTTCATAAATGACGCTTACCAATTATTTTCGATGATTGATCGGTGGTAATGAACCAATCATCAATTATGACATTTTAACCAATTCCCAACACTAGTCTTTAGTCATTAGTAGGATCTGCCATTGTGTTATGTTGACATTAGTCATATAAATGTTCTATATATAGTTAACATGATTGCTGGAAGTAGCAAATGTAAATAGTTTCTTAGTCAAACTGGCTTAAACTGTTAATTTTTCAGAGACTAGCCATATTACAGTACAACCAGAAATTATTGAGAATTTAAAGATTGTAATTTTTTTCATTCGTTACTCACGTATTAAATGTGAATATTAGCAGAACATAACTCCAGATTCAAAGGCAGGTGAACAGTTAATATTTTGTCACCATGGGCAGCAATGCAGGCTTCAATGCGGCGGGGCACACTAATGATTAAAGAAGTTAGAAAGTCGTGGTCCATGCTGTCCCAATATCGGACCACCTCTTCTTTCATTTCAGCAATATTTGTCAGATTTTTCTTATTGACACTTTCCTTCATAAGTCCCCAAACATCTTCTATTGGATTTAGGTCAGGGCTATAGCTTGGCCAATCTAATAATGTCATATTTTGGGTCCGAAACCAGGCCTGTGAATGCTTTGAATGATGTTTTGGGTCGTTGTCCTGCTGGAAAATCCAAAAATTTCCATAGAACACGTGAGCAGATGGAAGTAAATGTCCCTCGAGAATGTCTGTGTACCGCTCACTGTTCATATTCCCTTCAAATACACAGAGGGGCGTTGCCCCTAACACAGATATGCCATCCCACACGTTAAATTTCGGACTGTACTTTGGGCGCTGATACAAAGAGTTTCAGTTTGTTTGGTCCAGTATTTCAGTGTATTAGGAAACAACCACACAGAACTTTCATCTGAGAAAATCACATTGTCCCAGTTAAAATTTTCTATGCTGTAAGCACCAGTTCAACCTTCGCTCCTTTTGTTCAGGTTTCATGATCGGTGATGGAATTCCTCGACTTTTCGGCCAACCCATTGCATGCAGCTCAGTTCTAATTGTCTCCTTTCAGAAGCCACAGTTCCTCTATCAATCATATCCAGCCTTAAGTTTTCTAAACTCCTTCGTTTGTTTTTCGAAACAAGAATACCAAGCCGCCCCCTGTCACCGACAGTCAATTTTCTGGGCCTACCTGCGCCTCCCTGGTGCTCAATGCCATATCCATTTGCAATATTTTTCAAAACACGATAAACAGTGGACAAAGGGATGCCTGTTCTACTTGAAATCATTTTAGCTGATCTGATGTCCTTGTTATAATACTCTAAAATCAACTTCCTCTTCTCTAAATCATCCATACTGAGGATCACTGAAAATGTCGTCTGCTAGCAAGTAAACAAAGGGGGATAACTCTTCATAAACTAATGAAAAAGGATTAACGGAGTTGTCTCTCTTGAATGAAACCAAGCACTTGATAGCTGGTCAAGGTTATTTATACTAGAAATCCCATTAAACATATTCCTCATATTCTCAATAATTTCTGGTCATACTATACTATGGAATTGGGTAATGAGTGACTGAGTGGCCGATTGAGTGACATCGTACCCAATGGTGTGGCATGTCAACCAAGGTTTTCATGGTATCCCAATTGCATAGATTGATGCTCATGCTGTTGATCACTTGATTGTCTTGTACAGACTTGATTATTTACAGACCACTGCCATATAGCTGGAATATTGCCAAGTGCAGTGCCATCAGTTTATAGCAGCTGTTGGTCTGATTGCAGTTTACTGTCACTCTCAGCAATATTCCAGCCATGTCACAGAAGCATGGATGAGAAAATCAAGGGACAACATTGTGAGCAATGTTCAGTGCTGTTTGGGTATGAAGACACACAGAAGGGCTTGTAATACAAAAAGCAGGATATTTCCTCTTATATAGTGTTGGGTCCCCATCACTGACAATTTATGCTTTGATGCCAGTTACAATCGTGTTTGAGTTACGATTCCCTGTATTGTTGACACACAATCAACCAAGTCATTGTCTCTGGCCACTCATTTGGCTTCCTCTTAAACCAGCATTGGTTGCTGGGGATCAATTCGAGCACAGAGGGGCGGTGGTTAAAGTGTTTGCTCATCACATAGAAGACCCAGGTTCGATTCCCCACATTGGTACAATGTGTGATGTGAAGCCCATATCTGGTGTCAGTGTAAAACCATACTCACTCACTCTAGCCCAGAATCCCCATAAGGCCAGGTTGTAAGGGACCATTTATAATTTAAGGGTGTGTGGGGTGGGGGTGGGTGTGTGTTTGGAAATGATGATTTTGTACAATGTGAATGCCCCCCCACAAAAAAAAATAAAATAATAATTAATAAATTAATGTTCAAAATAAGTGAATAAGTTCAAAATGTCATGTACAAAATCAATGCCCCCCCCTCCTCTTCCCATAATTTCTAAGCATAATTTTAAACACATTTCAATGTTTTAAACTGCTGACCCCCCCTAGTGCATGTCTACAAAATTGCTGACAACCCCCATCCCACCCCTCACCTCAGAACAAAATGGGTGACCTCCCCTTAAAATCATCATGAAACATTTCAGTTTCAATAGATTGTCGTGTTTTATTGCAGGTAAATGATTCATTTATTGAATGTAAATTAAAACAAGAATAAGTGCAAAAACATACAGAGTATTTTTTATTAAAATAGATCCAAGAAATAAAATCTATGGTGAATATGAAAATAGCACACAAAATGTGTGAGTATATGTGTTAATGAACTGTGTATTAGTGGTTTATAAACTCAGTATTTGCAAGGTTTGTACATGGTATAACTGTTAGAGGTAGATAACACAATATCTGTATCCACTGTAGGTTATATAAAACACAATATTTGTAACCAGGGTTCACTGACATAAACAATATTTGATCATATATAAACACAGTTGACATTTCCTTGTTCTATTTGGAGTGGGTACAATGTGTGAAGCCCATTTCTGGTGTCCCCTGCCGTGATATTACTGGAATACTGCTAAAAGCGGCATAAAACCATACTCACTCACTCACTCTATTTGGAGAGTATAAAACATTGTCATAGAATATGATCAACAATAGAATACTTGACTCAATGAAAGTTGTCATGATGAAATTCTTAATTCAAGCTTATGTGAATAACATAATTATGAATTGAACACTTTATAAAGTATAAATATATAATAATGACTACAGATAAAACACAGAAACATTTTGGAATGTGAATCAATGTATAAAATGGACCCTCTTCCAATAAACCCAACGGAAGGTCCTATCCCATAACAGGAAGTATCAGAGTACTGTCCAGCAACCATTTTTACTGGCTCAGAGGTAGGTAGGTAGGTAAGGTTTTAGGGCGACCTTGGGCCTATATGCGCCCAACACTTAACAATCTGTTATATTTTTGTTCAGTTAAATTCTGTCGTACTTACCCGTTTTAACGAGGAAGTCTAAAACAGCTCGTTGGATGCAACCATACATTAAATTATCACCAAGTATTGTGTTCATTGTAAAAGTATTTTTGGTTTTGTTAAGCACAGTTTCTTTAAGAGCATTACGTGGGTTTTCATGAGCTGGACATTCAATGAGGTAGTGCTGAACTGTTTCTGGGCAGTGTAAGTTACAGCTTTCACACAGAGGAGATAGGTCTTTATCTAAAATACTTTTATATGCCTTTAATCCCCAATGTCCCAGCCTGAGGCGAGTTAAAACAACTTCATCTCTGCGACAACGCCGACGAATTTTAAAATGTTTGTTTACTACAGGACAAGTAGAGTACATGTGTCTACCTGTAGTTTCATTATCCAATTATTTTGCCAAGATGCAGTTATTGAAGATGAAATGACAAACCAGTAATCTCTTGGAATGGGCTTAATTGAATGAATATCTGGCTGTGGTCTTAGGTGTAGAGTTACATCCCTTGCGCAGACCACCTACCTATGATTTGGGGTTTGAATCCCATCTGCCCTGACCATGTGTCTGAGTTTGTCTGCACCATACCTGTGCTCAAGGTTTCATCAAAATGGAAGACATCTACTGGCAAACATGGATAAGTTGGACCAGCGCAAAGAATGCATTTACGAGAACTTCTTTGAGTGGCATTTAAGAAGTTGGGAAGTACAATATAGAACAAACTTTATGGATAACAACTGCTTTTTATTCGTGAGTGCGACGTTTCGTTACAGATTCTTGTACCGTTGTCAAGCAATATTCCAACAATATCACAGCGGGGTACATCAGAAATGTCCCATTATGCTTGACAACGGTACAAGAATCTGTATTGAAATGTCGCACTCACGAATAAAAAGAAGTTGTTCTCCATAAAGTTTGTTCTATATTACATTTACAAGAAGTAAGCCATTTAGGGATGTAGTCTTTGTTGTCAGCAATAGAGGGTTTTCCTTTAGATGTACAGGGAAGGGAAACAGACGTTTCTATGTATTTTCTAAATATAAATGTTTACG